AGGATCTCTTGAGCCCAGGAGTGTGAGGTTGCTGTGAGCTAGGCTGACGCCACGGCACTCACTCTAGCCCGGGCAACAAAGCGAGACTCTGTCTCAAAAAAAAAAAATGAGACAGACTAGTATACTAATATGGAAAGAGCTCTAAAAATAAATCAAGTTTTAAAAAACAGTTTACAAAATAGCCTAGTTGGGTAAAACAAACCAAGCAATTCATAGATATTATTCATACATATGTAAATGCGTAACAGAAGGTCTAAAGTTTATAAACCTAGATGTTAACAGTAGTTACATATGGAGTAGAATGGGTTTAATAGTGGAAAGAAGGAAAAAATTCTAAATGCTAATCCTGACTTTCCCTCTCAATTAACATTGAATACTAAACTAGGGATCCTGTGCTTTATTTATAAAATGAGGTAGTTGAGTAGAGTAATGCTCTTGAGAACCTTATCAATCATTGCAGTTAAATGTATTCTTTTTCTAGGCTCTCTGCTAAGGCAGATGTTTAGTGATTCTAGCTTCTGTTTATTTTATTCAGAAGTCATTTTTATGTCCTGACCTTTGCCTTATTCACTGCATTTAGCTTTGGTGTCCACCTTTGATTACTTTTTCTTTCAGACCTCTTTCAATTTTATTAAATTTTTTAGGATAGACTCAATTATTCAGAATAAAAGGCCTCTCGATAATTTGTACTCTGCTTGTGGAAATTAAAAAGTGAGAGTATGTAACATCATCAAAATATTTTAAACCCAACCAGGCACTGTGGTGCACACCTATAGTCCCAGCTACTTACGAGGCTGAGGCAGGAGAATTGTTTAAGCCCAGGAGTTCAAGGCCGGCTTGGGCAACATAGCAAAACCCCATCTCTTAAAAAAAATTTTAAACCCCATTCTGGTTTTTCTTATGAATAAAACCTTAAAAACAAGAGGCTGAGTAGTCAACATGTAATTAATTATGTCCTCTCAAGTGAATTCTCTTGATAAAAACTGTCCATGGAAACCATTAACTCTAGCTGTTTTGCTTTGTTTTGTCTTACAGCTGACTTTGGTTTCTGTGCCCAGATCACCCCTGAGCAGAGCAAACGCAGCACCATGGTTGGAACGCCATACTGGATGGCACCAGAGGTGGTCACACGGAAAGCTTATGGCCCTAAAGTTGACATATGGTCTCTGGGTATCATGGCTATTGAGATGGTAGAAGGAGAGCCTCCATACCTCAATGAAAATCCCTTGAGGGTAAGATCAGTTAAACATTAGCCTTATTGTTAGAAAAACACTTTTCTTTAAAACATTTGCGTAGGACTTACTTGTTCCGGGCCCTGGCCAGGAATTTAAGGTAGAAAAAGTTGATAAAACCTGTTCTCGTCCTTACTCTGCATCTAAAAATCATTTGCCTTTGAGTTATGGAGTTAAACTTGTTAGGTAAAAGAGTTTATAGATTTTTAGAAGTAAGCCATGTGATTTCTTATTTTAAATACAAAGTTTGGCTTGAGCGTGCGCGCTTTCTCTCACTCTCTCAGTCTTTTTTTCTTCTCCTTTTAAGTGACCATATATGGCTAAACATTATTAGTTATTAAGGAAATGCAAATCAAAACCACAATATACCACTTCACACCTACTAGAATAGCTATAATCAAAAAGACAATAATAAATGTTGGTGAGAATGTGGAGAAATTGGAACGTTTATACATTGCTGTCAGGAATAGAAAATGGAGCAGCTGGTTTGGAAAACAATTTGACAGGAAGTTAATACTGAGTTACTGTATGACCTAGTAGTTCCTCTGTTAGGTACATGTCGAAGAGAATTATAGGCATACGTCCACATAAAAACTTACACATGAATGTTCATAGCAGCATTATTCGTAATAGCTAAAAGCGTCTGTCACCTGATGAACAATGGAATACTATATGGCCAGAGAAAGGAAGTAAGTACTGATACATGTTGCGACATTGAACCTTGAAAGTATTATGCTAAGTGAAAGAAGCCAGACAACAGATGGCTTTGAATTTTGATGCTCTTTTTCCTGATATTTTCCATCCCACTGTCAAAGATTTCCATTTCAAGTGAGCAGTTAAAGTACTTGTATAGTGATAATTAATTTGGAACACTTTTCAGAACAATTTTTAAAACTCTCTAATTTCTTTTATTCATTCAGCCAATGTTGATTTGAGTACCTGCCACGTGCCAGACACTATAACGAACACAAATCCTGCCCTCATAGAATTTACATTCTAGTGGGAGGAGAGAGACAATAATAAAATAAATCAGATATAAATAATATGTGGTATATTAAACAATGTTGGTGCTGGGATAGGCAGGGAGAGGATCAGGGTATTTGCTTTCAAAAGGGTGCTTGCTTCGCTGAGGCAACATTTGGACACGAGGTAAGAGAGTAATACTTACCTAGGGAAAGAGCGTTCCAAGCAGAAGAAATAGCAAGTACAAAAGCCCTAAAGCAGGAGCATTACTGATGCATTCATAGATGATTAAGAATTCCAGCATAGCTAGAATGCATTGAGCAAACAGCAGGAAATAAGGTAGATCAATGAAAAAATGAGGTCAAACTGTGTAGTTGCCTGTGAGGCCTTTGGAAGAATTCTGGCTTTTACTCTAGGTAAAATGGACAAACCATTAGAGAGTTTTGAGCACAGTAGTAAATTGGTGTTACTTACATTTTAATAGGATTTATCTGGCTACTTTGTTGAGAAGAGATTCTCAAGGAAGGCAAAGGCAAAAGCAGGAAGCCAGTTAGGAGGCTGTTGTAATAATTCAGGCAAGAAATGGTGGTAGTTTAAACCAGAACAGTACAGTGGAGGTGGTAAAAAGTGGTGGGATTCTGATATATTTTGACAGGAGTGTCTATGTGAGAGAGAAAATAAGACCCAAAGGGATCTATTCCCAAGTAACTTAACTGCATCCCTGAACAAAGCTCAAGAACGATTATAGGGCTGCAGCTATAGTCATGAGTATGCTCAGGCTTCAGAAGAGGCTCACCTGCAGTGTCCTCTGCTGTGGCAAAAAGGTCTGGTTGAACCCCAGTGAGACCAGTGAAATCACCAATGCCAGCTCCCATCAGCAGGTCCAGAAGCTGATCAGAAATGGGCTAATCTTTGATCAATCTGTGACTGTCCATTCCCGGGCTCAATCCAGAAAAACACTTTGGCCCACAGGAAGGGCAGGCCTATGGGCATAGGTAAGTGAAAGGGTACTGCCAATGTTCAAGTGCCAGAAAAGGTAACCTGGGTGAGGAGGATGAGAATTCTGCACCAGCTGCTCAGAAGATACCGTGACTTTGCTGGATGCAGTGGCTCACACCTTTAATCCCAGTGACTCAGGAGGCTGAGGCAGGAGAATTGCCTGAGGCCAGGAGTTTGAGCCCAGCCTGGGCAACATAGCAAGACCTCATCTCCAAAAAAATAAGAAAAATAAGCCAGGCATGGTAGTGCATGCCTGTAGTCCTAGCTACTCAGGAGGCTATAACAGGAGGATCGCTTGAGCCCACCAGTTGGAGCGTGAGCTATGATCATGCCACTGTACTACATCCTGGCTGACAGAGCAAGACTTTGTCTCTTGAAAAAAAGAAGAAAAAAAAAAGAAGATTCAGTGAATCTAAGAAGATTGACCACCACATGTATCAGAACCTGCACCTGAAGGTGAAGATATTCAAAAACAAACAGATTCTCATGGAACACATCCAAAGCTAAAGGCAGACAAGGCCGGCAAGAAGCTCAGACTGGGTCACACAGGTCTGAGACCAGGAAAGTATGCAAGTTCCGTAAAGAGTGCCTCCAGGCCAAGAAAGAAGAAGTCATCAATACTCTGTCCAAGGAGGAAGAAACTGAGAAATAAAGCTCTTCCTCTCCAGTCTGTACATAGTGGCCTTGGTAATTATATGGATCAGTCGTTCAAATAAAACAAGACTTTATCTGCCTGGGGAGGATTATTTATAGGAATACAGAAATAGCCAAGACCCAGCAAGCACCCAGACATCCAAAGTTCACCAGGAGGCAAAGGAGCAGGAAACTGCAACCCATAAGGAGGAGAAAAACTAATCAATTGACCCAGAACTGACACAGATAAAAGAATTAGCATACAAGGCCACTAAAACAATTTTTTACAACTGCATTCCAGGTGTTACAACAGTTAAATAGAGACATTTGAAAGGTATATATTTTGTAAAGACCTAAAGCAAATTTACAGATGGAAACTCCAATGTTTGAGATCGGATTAATGGCAGATAATACATTGCAGCAATAAACACTATCCAAAATCAAAGCAAAAGAACAACAGTGACATTTTAAAAAATGAAATGGCATCAGTGAGCTGTGAGACAACTCCAAGTGTTCTAATATGTGTAATAAAGATTTGAGAGAAAAAAAATCAATCAACTTTGAATTCTGTAGCCAGCAGATATCTTCCAAAACTAAGGTTAAATAAAGACTTTCTCAAACATAACAAAAATTAAAAGAGTTAATAACTATATGGGAAAATATATAATTTTTTTCTTACATAAATATCTTCAAAAGATAAAACTTTAAATAAAAATAATAACCATGGAGACAGGAGATGAACATGTGTAAGTAAAATGACAACAAAAGCATACACATAAAGGCCAACAGGGAGAGCCATAAGAGTCTTCTGCTCTGTGGACTGTAGTATGTCATTTGATGGTAGCTTGTGATAGTCGAAAGATGCAAGCTATAAACCCTTACGCCAACACTAAAATAACAAAAGAAAGAGTTACACCTAATAACTGTGGAGATAAAAATGCAGAGTTAAAGAAAAAAGGCCATTTACTGTGTATGCATATATCAAAACATCACATTGTATCCCATAAATATATAAAATTATTTTCTGTCAATTAAAAATAAAAGTTTAAATAAAATAAACAAAGGACACATTGATGGGAGTATGTTAAAAGGGACACAGGAGCCAACTGAAAGAGCTTCTAATGGTCAGCTAGAGCAATTTGAGCAACAAAATAGAGCAATATGAGGTTATATCCCAAAGTTTGAAATATCTGTGAGTCAATACTGATATAAATAACTGATTGAATAAATAAATGGGGGGGAGACAAATCTCCAATGTGGAAGAATTCCAAACAATTTATATTTGGAGGTAGAGTATAACTAACTCCCCACTCTGGGGAGCACCAAGAGCCCATGTGAGATAAGTGAATGTGAATTTTTAAGTGATGCCAGTTAGCATGGATATATGTTTTTCTCCCACCATACTTAGCTGTTACAGGTACCAACAAGGAGGAGGTAGAGTTTTAGCCACATGAATGCTGTGAGGTGAGAGAGGGTCAAGGAAGTGATCATGTGAAAGGAATGATGGACATTGGAAAGATAGATGGGATTTAGGTCCCAGTAGAGTCACAGGATTGCTGGTGTTAGGGTACTAAGAATGAAAAAGACAGGAAGTAGAGAACAACTGAGATTTAAGGGTTATGGTTATTGGTACTGACAAGGTATAAGGTGTGACCATAATAGGTGTGTGTGGCTAAGGTAGGCTAAAAGACAAGAGCATCAGAGAAGAGGAGGTCAAGAAACTGTAACGTGTATCTATGTAGCTACTGAAATCACCACAAATTTTAACAGGAGGAATGTTAGAGATGATGGTGTGGAAAGAACTATTTATTCTCTTCAAAAAGTGAGGGGGAGACCTCAGGTTTGGTAGTTATTTGGAGTAAGGAAAGGTAGATATGCGTTTGAAAGCCTGGGAATTACAGAGGAAGAGAGAGAGAGAGATCTCATAGAGCAATGCAGAGCCAAAAGGACATTTATTTCATCTGCAGGCCCAGAGTTCTGGGTTAGAAGAAAGCACCGCCAGAGAGCGCTGCGGGTGAAAGGAAGGCGAATGAGCAGAGCCCTGTGAGCATTAGAATGGAGAGACGAGGGGATGCCTGCCATCTCAGAGACGATTTCTTAAAATGGAATTTTTAAATGAAAAATTTAGGAGAAATATGTGAAGGGCAGTTATCTTAGGTGACAAGGAAATGGGCGCACTTATGCACTTATGGTTTGTGTGTAACTTGTTATCCTTTTTTATGGCATTTTGGCAATATAGCAGAAACCTTAAATAAATAATTCAGGAGAAAATCTGGTTGGCCTTGAGTTTGGTGGTGTTTTTAGTTACAACACCAAAAGCATAATCCATGAAAGAATAAATTAGACTTTGTCAAAATCTGCTTTGTGACAGGCACTTAAGAGAATGAGAAGACAAGTCATAGACTACAAGAAAATATTTGAAAAACACCTAGCTGATAAAGTACTTGTATCCAAAATATACAAAGAACTCTTAAAGCTCAACAATAAGAAAACAAACAACCCAATTTAAAAATGGGCAAAAGATCTGAGCAGACAACCCACCAAAGAAGATGCACAGTTAGCAAATAAGCATATGAAAAGAGCTTATCATCATGTCATTAGGGAATGACACACCTAATAAAATGGTCAAAGTTCAAAAAACTGACAGTACCAAATGCCAGGTAAGGATATGGAGAGCAACAGAAACTTTCATTAATTGCTAACGAGAATGCACCACTCTGGAAGACAATTTGGCAGTTTCTTACAAAACTAAACATAATCTTACCATGTGACCTAGCAATCGTGCTTCTAAGTATTACCTAAATGAGTTGAAAACTTATGTCCACATAAAAACGTACACACAAATGTTTATAGCATCTTTTATTCATAATTGCCAAAAACTGGAAGTAACCAAGATATCCTTCAAAAAGTGAATGTATAGGCTGTGGTACATGGAAACAATGGAATATTATTCATTGACAAAAAGAAATGAGCTATCATACCACAAAAAGACTTGGAAGAACTTTAAATGCAAATTGCTTAGTAAAAGAGTCCAGTCTAAAAAGGTTACATGCTATATGATTCCAACTCAAGAGAGTAAAAAAAACCAATGGTTGTGGGTTGTGGAGAGGATGAATTTGGGCATCTTGAGGGCAGTGAAATTATTTTGTATGATATTAAATGGTGGATACATGACAATATTCATTTGTCAAAACCCATAGAACAGCTAGGCACAGTGGCACAAGCCTGTAGTCCCAGCTACTCAGGAGGCTGAGGCAGGAAGTTCACTTGAGCCTAGGTGTTTGAGGCTGCAGTGAGCTATGATTGTACTACTATACTCCACCTTGGGCAGCAGAGTGAGACCTTCATCTCAAAAAAAACAAAAACAAAAAAACTCATAGAAGTATGTAATACAAAGAATGAACCATAATATAAACTATGGGCTTTAATAGAAATGTATTAATATTGGTTTGCTTATCACAGGTGTACTATAGTATAATGTAAGATATTAATAATAAGGGAAACTGGGGTGTTTGTGTTGAAACTCTGACTCTGCTCAGTTTTCTGTAAACCTAAAAACTCTTAAAAGTCAATTAAAAAATAATTCCATTTCTAGAAATTTAAAGGAAATAATCAGAAGTATAAGAATTTTCTAAAGGGGATTTATTAAATTATGAAACATCCATATAGTGCACTATTTACTTTAGCCATTAAAATAATTTTGTAGATATTAATTAGTAATGATGAGGCTGGGATATAACAAAATTTTAAAAAATATTTCAACAAATCCCATTGTTTTGAGTAATGTATATGACTTGAAAAAAGCTTGAGAACAGTAAACCACATGGTTGATAGTGGTTGTAGTCAGTTGTCTTTATACCTTTAAGTATTATAGTTAGTTTGGTTTTTTAGGCATTATGTACTGCATTTATAATCCAACCAAAAAAAAGGTTAAGCTGATTTTGGAACAAGAACGTAGGGAAATGTAACATCTAAAAATAAAGGAAATATTAAATCTAAACGAGTAGAGATAATGATAACCTCACTTACAGTTTATGCTGATTTTCTTTGAAGAAGTAAGAGTTTCACAAACTTTATAAAATCCTCTCTCACTTTGATGTTCTACCTTGAGTATGTCAAAGGTATTTTTCTATTATTTAGGCCTTGTACCTGATAGCTACTAATGGAACCCCAGAACTTCAGAATCCAGAGAAACTTTCCCCAATATTTCGGGATTTCTTAAATCGATGTTTGGAAATGGATGTGGAAAAAAGGGGTTCAGCCAAAGAATTGTTACAGGTAAATTTGGAAGGATTCCATTTTTGGAAAAAGTTGACTTTTTGGAGCAACCAACAGTAACCCTATTAACCAATCATAGGGTTAATAATCATATTTCACTGTTAATCACCAGCAGTATGGCAGCTGCTGCATTTTAGAGTTTCATCTGCTGGGAATAGAATTCTGATAATACCATAATGTTAAGTTTTTGCATATTATCAACTTTCAGACCTGTTCATTGCTGGCATGTGTATATCTGTAGGTCATTTAACTGTAGATCTTACGGCATTACAAAAACTAAAACAACTCTGTTTTCAACTATAAAAGTATGTGTTGATTATGTTGGCTTTATACAGTATTGAAAGATGCATGTTTAGTTTATTAAATAAATTATAAGTAGTCTTTGGGACTTAATTGAAAGAAATTATTTTGTTTCTGAGTTGATTGAGAACATTTATACATTTATTTTTTCCCTTCTTTCTGGCAGCATCCCTTCCTGAAACTGGCCAAACCATTATCTAGCTTGACACCACTGATCATGGCAGCTAAAGAAGCAATGAAGAGTAACCGTTAATATCATTGTCATGGCCTCATATTCTTTTTTCCATTTTCTAAAAGAAGTCTTTTAATATATGAAAATTATTACTCTTTTTGGGGCTTAAAGAAATGGTCTGCATAACATGGAGGAAAAAAAGCAAGCTACTATTCTCTGAGGACAAGGAGAAAATTGCAAAAAGAAAACTATGACTTTCAAACGAACCCCTTTAGGGTCCAAAAGGAATTGTGGACTGAATCACTAGCCTTACGTCTTTCAGCAGACAGCCTATCAGGGCCGTTTATCATGCTTGAGATTTGCATTTTATTTTGCTGACTTTGTTGTAATAGATACCATTCATCGTCCCCTTTTGGGATATTTTCAATACTTGAATGGCAGATTCGAGTTTTTCAGAGTATTTGTTTCATCTGCTAGTCTTCTTTTTCTCTCCTTCATTAGCTTTCCTTTTCCTTGACTTGCTCCTTTTGAGTTGCTTTGAGAAGTTTTTCTCATGCCTAAATTCAAGACAAGTGTGATAGAAATTATGTAGCTCCTTATATTGGCAAAGGAGCTCAGTATGGTTTTAACTTTGTATAGAAGTTAGGAGCAGCTACTGTTACATGTTATATTTTAGTTCAGAACTTGACCTGAAGGAAGGGAAGAAAAAGTATGTGATTTTTACCTTTTTTAACAAATGTGAAAAAGTCAATTTTAGAAATTTTATGGTAGTGAGTTCGGCATTTGTTACATGTATAGAGAGAAGACTAATCTATATTTATAACTAACTAAATCATTGAGATAGAAAAAGAATCCCATTGACTATACATTCTTACAGTTTTATCTTCCTTTTTATTTCCTGTTCAGATTTGGCTTCAGGAACCAAAGTGATTTGTTCTTGTTCCAACTTGGGCTTTATGACTTTGGTTAGTGCCACTACTCTTCCCTTCCCTTCTTCCCCCACTCGGCCCCTTCGTTTTGGAAATAAATTTTTGTATATGTTGCAATTTTAGGTTTAGGTTTGTTTTTTTCTTTTTAATTAACCCTCTCTCACTTCACACATCGCTCCCACCCCCACCCCCCGTGGCAACTAATACAATAACTGTTGAATTTTCTGAATTTAAAAGTTAAGTTTTTTCCCCCATTTAAAGGAGAAAAATATTTGGGGCTAGCGGAGACAGAGTGAGAGACTTAAACCTTGGTGAGCTCTGAAATAACTAGATGAGATTATATTCACGAAAGAGAAATGTCAGTATTACAGAGAAGCAGCTTACGACCAGTAAACTGTAGAGATACGTCATAAGTTACATTGCTCCCAAATCGTTACCAATGTTTTACTATCTATGAGAACTTAAATGACAAAGTACTTCTTGAAGAATTCATGGGTCATGAGAGATGATGTTGAGTTACTTTAGCTTTTTGGGTTTTTTTCCTGAAATAAGTAGAGAATATTCATGTAAAAAAAAAACTGGAGAAAAGAAGACAGATGAAATGTACTTGTTGAAAGAAATACTTTTTTATTTTAAAGATTAAAAAAAGGTCTGTGACCTGTAGCATTAATTATTCGAGTGCCCTTTTTTTTCTCCCCTCCACTTCTATTCTTTCCTCTACTTCTCTCCTATTTTTCGGTTGTTTTGCTTTTTGAGTAGGTATTGTTCCTTCTGACATACCTGGAACCCCACATAAAAGAGAAGTATCTGTGGTTTGGTTCTGGCATTTTGTTCCTACCATCCCCTCCCAATTAACTTCAGTCCTGCTTGCCATGTTGCAATAGTTCAAATCATGAATAAAAATAATTTTGCCATTTTGGAGTACATTGAGGAAACTAGTAGGGTTTTATTTCCTATTATTCCCATTATATCTGTGTTAAGATACAAGTATAAGGAGAGAAGTGGCTGTTTCTTTATTGATAAGACAGGAAGATTTTCAGAAAAATGAGTAAAATAATTAATGAAACTTATATTTAGAGCACTTAATGGTCTCCTTTCAATATAATACTTGATTTCCTTTTTCTCTGGATTATGTTGGCCTTCTACAGCTATTACTCAATTACAGGAACAAGCTGGTTTATTTCCGGTGGAAAACTACAGTGCCTCTTGAGTTCCAGATTTGAACATTCTTTCTAAACAGTTGTCTGGATGGATTATGATAAAGAAGATGCTACCAATGAAATAGAAAACCAGCTAGACGATAAGACTGATCATCATGACCACTTGAGAAGGCACTTTCATCCTAAATCATAAAGACCATATTCATTGAATATGTGCCAATGCCCCGTTTTATGCTTGTGACTCAACAAAGGGCTTTTCAGTTAATAGAAGCAGTTTGGGATTTGTATTTACAACTTCTTTGATGGTTACCTGCACGTCCATTGCTGGCAACGGACTTTGTCATTAAAACCTGACTCCTAGGTTAAGGGAGCTACGCTGTGGTTTATTCTTTCTTTACTTGGATAAACTAACCTGTAATAGAAATATACTTTGGTTAATTCTGAAATATGTCATGTTTAAACAAAATCTTAAAAGCAATACAGATTTGTGATTTATTAGTTAATTTTAAATTAAAATGTCCAGATCTTTTTGAAAGAACAATAATATCTGAATCAAGATTCATTTTTTAAAAATAATTGCCTTTTGTATTTCCCCTTGTTATCCTCACCTTAGGATGAAAATTCCCATTTAAATCTAAAAGTTATCTTAGTAGTCCTCTTGTTATTAGAACAATATTACTATAGTACTTATTTATTATATTTTAGATTCTCTGGTGGTCTTAAAGTTATCTTTTCTTCTTCCTTTTGCTGCGTTTAGGGACAGTTAAAACTGGGAAACCGTGAAAACATTGAGCATTTTATTCTACCTGAATAGTAAACAAGTAGAATCATTGTGTAGCGTGAGACACCAAGGCTAACACAACTCTGTCTTCATATGTTGAGTGCCTGGCACATAGTATGAATTCTCTTCCCTTCAACATACAAATATTAAGCTGCTTAAAATTTATCTAGTAACCACCAATCCTAAGTGAGCCTGTGCCTTTAACAAGCAATTTAAACTACCTATGAGTATTTCTTTGTAGGGCTCACTTAATGTTTGTTTGTATATACTGTATTCTAGCCAGAATAATTTCAGATCTGATCAGGTAATGGCTATAATTAGAAAAAAATAGGTGCTTAAAGAATTTCCATCAGTTTTTAAATCTAAAATTATTAAAATATACTGAGATCCATATTGAGTGAAATGTCAAAATATTATAGATTATAGCTAAAATCCAGATTAATACTCTGGGTTTTTTGTAGTGGAATTTCATAGTAATATAAAAAGCAAATTATCTTATCTCCACTGCTCCCACAGTAGATAATAATATTTAAGCAATTACATCAGTTTTTCCATAGTGTGTGTATGTGTGTGGGTAAGAAAAATATACACACACATTTTTTTTCTTCACTCAACACATTTATTGAACACTCTGGCAAAGATGCTGTGGTAGATGATGGAGTTACAAAGAAGAATCGAGCACTGGGCTGGCCTTGAAAGAACTGAAGTCTTTCTCCACCATTCTAGAATGTTGCCAAGACAAAAGGCAGAAAGAAATATAATTCTGTCAAATTATCATTTTATATTAAGAAAAACAGTTACATTTGGAATTCAACCTCTTTGGAATGTGTTGGCTTCTTTTTTCTTGTTTTGATAGATAGAGATGGAATTAAGTGAAAGTAGCTTGTCTTTTCTGTTGTGTCTTCAAATTTTATAATGCCTTTTATTTTTAATTTAATCCCATTCAATTATTTAATTGTTACATTGACATTAACTGCTGTATTTGATGACTTTGTTCATTAATTTTGTTCTTTCAGGGCTAGAAATAAACTTTCTTTTTAATGTTTATTTTTCCCTTTCCTAAACTTCCATTCTTTCTTTTGATCAGAATAGCGTAAGAGATCAATTGTTTAAATGTCTAATAGACTTTCAAAGAGCATTCTAGTGTTTTTAAGAGTAAATGTTTTTTATTCTTAAAAACAATTTTTTAATGTTTTAAACCTTTTATTGGTGTCATGGCACCATTTTGAATGTATTATAAAGGTCCAAATTAGGAAGATTTCTAGAAATTTGTAGGTAGTAAGCTTGAGCTTTCCCTCTTCTAAATCAGGTTCATAATAAATTTCTTACAAATGTTCCTTTATCAGACCCAGGGAAACACTTCTGATTTATTTGAACACCTCCAATAATTTGGCTTGAAATTCTAATGCTTAGCTGGCTGGAATAATAAAAATCTAATGAGAATTTCTGTGTTAAGTGCACCAAGAAACCTTCAAGAGTACAATACTTTAAGGCATCACTTCATTATACAATTTAATTTGGAATGTTGGGTAGCCTAACATGGGAAACAGCCGCAATGATAGTTCACTATAAAAAAGCCTAAAATACACATTTTTTAGCCTGGGCGAGAGGTGTAGGCAATGCTTGCTTTAAACGTATTTGTTACACTATACAGCTGTTTAGTCCTATTCTTTCCTTAATTATAGCAAATGGTAAAAGCATTTACCTAAGAAAAGTTCTAAAATGCCTAGATGACTGATTTGAGAATCTCTATTTCTAGGGCTTAGTGCATGCTTTACTACTTTAATGGTTGCAGTGTTTTTAAAATTCAGGAATTATTTTTTATGGTAAATTATTTAATAGGTTTTATCTTTTGAGGAGGAGGAGTATGACAACGAAGGGGAACATTTTAGGCCTGGTTGTTCTAGGTTTTTAACAAAGTAACAGACATATTAGGTCATTAAGTATGAAATGTTCGATTTCCTTAAGTTTGACAGTTGATATCCCTGACACTTCATTTTGACACTTCTTGTGTTTTTTACTATTGTAAAGGTACATCCTCAGCACATTTTGGCTTGTGATTATCTTTCACTTTCTTTTTTTTTTTTTGAGCAATTTTTGTGAAACCATGGATAAGTCAAAAATTCATGTTATTTTTGAATATGAGTTCCATTGTGGAATGAATACAGTGCAGACAGCTCAAAATATTATTGAAGTGTTTGGGGAGGATGTGGCTAATGAAGGCGCAATACATTGATGGTTTGAAAAGTTCCATTCTGGTGATTTTAATTTTGAAAATGAGCCATGTGGGTGACCTGAGACCAAGGTGAATAAAGATGAACTGAAAGCTGTAGTGGAAGTGAATCCATCTCAACCTATGTGTGAATTAGCTGCAGGGTTTGACGTTACTATTCCAACAATATTGGACCACTTGAAACAAATTGGCAAGGTAAAGAAGCTGGACAAATGGGTACCACATGATTTAAATGATCATCAGAAGAGAAATCATTTCAAAACTTGGCCTTTCTTTGCTGTCAGGACATAAAGGCAAGCCATTTCTACACTGTATTGTTATATATGATGAAAAATAGATACTTTTTGACAATCGCAAGCATTCAGCACAATGGTTGGATAAAGATGAAGTGCCAAAGCACAGTCCAAAACCAAATTGTCATCAAAACAGCTAATAGTGTCTATTTGGAGGTGCAGCGCTGGTATTACCCACTACAGCTTCATGAAACCTGGTCAGTCAATTATAGCAGATGTGTACTGCAACCAATGGGACGAAATCATGAAGATGCTTGCAATTAAGCAGCTGAGATTGGTCAATAGAGACAGGCCAATCCTTTTGCAAGACCACATGTCGCAAAAACAATGCTGTTCAAACTACAAAGGCTGGACTTGGAAACTCTGCCATCCACTGTATTCACCAGACCTTGCACCAACTGACTACTACTTCCAGGCTTTGGACCACCTCTTGAAAGGAAAAATATTCAATTCTAACAAGCTGTGGAAAACGCCTTTTGTGTTGTCATCACTACTGGCTCTCCAGGCTTCTTCACTGCTGGCATAAGCCAGCTACCATTAAGATGGCAAAACGGTGTCCATAGTTTAGGTGCATACTTTGATCAATTGTACTGCTTGTTGTTTGAGATATAATAAACTAAACTTTTGATTTAAAATCTGACATTTCATATTTAAT